AGGTGAAACTCAACCAGAGGGTGAAGGTGAAACTCAACCAGAGGGTGAAGGTGAAACTCAACCAGAGGGTGAAGGAGAAACTGAAACTCAAGGAAACAGAGCAGAACATGGAGATGAAAATGAAGCAGAAGGAAAAGGAGACAGTGAAGGTGAAGGTGAGGGTGAAATCTGCACAGAAGACGGTGAAATGAAAGGTAATGAAGGCAAAACTGAAAGCCATGAACTCAGTGGTGAAAATCGTGATGAAGCCAAAAATGATGAGAAAGATATAAAAGATGAAGGGGGAAGTGATGGAGGAGATAGGGAAGAGGAGGAAAAGGAGGAGGAGGAAGAGGAGGAAGAAAAGGAGGAGGAGGAAGAGGAGGAGGAGGAGGAAGAGGAGGAGGAGGAGGAGGAGGAGCAGGAGGAGCAGAAGGAGCAGGAGGAGCAGAAGGAGCAGGAGCAGGAGGAGCAGGAGGAGCAGGAGGAGGAGGAGGAAAATGAAGAGCCGCTGTCCCTGGACTGGCCTGAAACCAGGCAGAAGCAGGCCATTTACCTCTTCCTCCTGCCCATCGTGTTCCCACTCTGGCTGACAGTCCCTGACGTCCGAAGGCCGGTAAGTGTGTCCATCCTTACCTCAGGCTTTTTTTCCCCAGGGAAGCTGTGGGGTCTTTAGGCACCCCGGGCTCACACTTAATGGGGAGGAAGAGGCCAGGGACAACCAGCTTGGCAAGGGTCCACCACTGAGATCTGGGAAGGTACTGAAGCCTTGGAGGGGAATCGTGTGCCCAGGCAACACACCAATGGCACTTGGGAGGCCCTAGACCTCAAATGTGTCTTATTTCCACAGCTATAAGGAGCGTACACTAGTCCCTCTTTGACTTCTATCTCAGTTTCTTGATTTTAATTTGGGAATGATGTCACTAAACCTCCTCCATATTTCATAGGAGTATTCTCAAAACCCGGGGAAATCACTGCTATTTCTACCCAACATTCTTATTTGCAAGGAAAGGTCTGACCAGAAAGGAACGGTACAAGGAGGCTGCAAAAGCCAAACCGAATGCCTAGATTGGCCTGGTTCTAGGGCAAGGAGACAGCTCTCTTCCCTCTGGTGACTGCTGCACACCCTACTGTCTGGACTCCCCTACAGGTGTACCCCTCACCCCCATCCTTTTCCATCCATCTCAAGGTCCTCCCCGAGAGAGAGCCCTCAGGTCAAATGTCTCCAGTTCCTCTCCATCACTCTTCCATTAGACCTTGTCACTGATTCTTGGGCTTGCTCAGAGGGTCCAAAGACCTTTAGCCTCTACAACTTACTTCCCATCCTTTTCAAACTTTCAAACAGGAGTCAAGGAAGTTTTTTGTTCTCACCTTCCTGGGATCCATCGTGTGGATAGCCATGTTCTCATACCTCATGGTGTGGTGGGCTCACCAGGTGAGTGAACAGCAGGAACAAAATCCTCTACCAGCAGGTCCCAAGGACACTTTCCTTCAGGATGAATTTCCGGTACTCAGGGAGTCTCGAGGATCAGGTGAATCTGTGCAGTTTCTATGTTGTTTGTAAAGGCTTAAAGGTAGACTTTTTATTCCGGTGAACATAGTGCTTCTCAATTTTGGCTTTTCTGACATACCCTGCAGCATGAAGGCCTTGGAATCCTGCCTGATTCCAGCTGACCATGGCTTATTAGTCATATTTCCTGCCTTCTCCGCCATGTACCTATCCCTCTCACCTGGTGAAACCCTGCACACTCTGAGAACCACCTGTTTCGCATGCTCTCTGGCATTTCATTAGTCTTCCCCTGAGTGCCCATAGTGTTTCTGTTCTGCCTGGAATACTGCATTGTAATCTTTGTTTACTAGCTTTCCTCTCTAAAAGGCTGAGATTAGGGTCTACGTCATCTTGCTCATACTTCCACCTCCAGCCTCTTAGTTCCTGGGACACAGCAAGTGTCCACATTCCTGGAAATAGAAATGCTGACTTGAACAGATCTTTGGAAGGGCAGTTCTAGCGGGGAAGTAGAGGTGTTAGAGTTGGAATGACAGTGAGCAGCAGATCTGCTGCAGGTAACTTTTAGACCAATTGTGAAAAGAAGAGCAACATGGTCCCTTTGGTCAGGAGCAGGAGCCTTGCTTGTCTCTGTGGCTATCTCAGCTGTTGGTCCTCCTATCACCCTCCCTCACTCAGGCTGAGGGGGTGTGGCTGAGCTCTTTAGAAGGCATTCTGTTTGCATAAAGTAGGATGTGGATAGTGCTTTGATGTGCCTCAGGTTTTTCACCTACTGTTGCCATGGTTTCTCATTACTGTTTACCAGGTTGGTGAAACAATAGGGATTTCCGAAGAGATTATGGGCCTGACCATCCTTGCAGCAGGCACATCAATCCCTGACCTCATCACCAGTGTGATTGTGGCTCGAAAGGGCCTGGGAGACATGGCTGTGTCAAGCTCTGTGGGCAGTAACATATTTGATATCACTGTGGGGTGAGTGGCAATGTTACTTTCTAAAGCATGTTAAGTGTGACTGGAAAACACTGCATTGGTTCTGTTCACTGGTTTTCTGCTTTATTCATTATACATGGAATAAAAGGGCATTTATATTGCTGGTTTCTGCAAAGGAACAAAATATCTTCCCTTCATTCATCACAGACAGATGGGATAACAGAACTAAAATGCTGCCTGAAATGAAACTGACCAGAATTTACAGATAAATCGAAAAACAAAGTCCAAGCTGGGCGCGGTGGCTCAAGCCTGTAATCCCAGCACTTTGGGAGGCCGAGGCGGGTGGATCACGAGGTCAAGAGATCGAGACCATCCTGGTCAACATGGTGAAACCCCGTCTCTACCAAAAATACAAAAAATTAGCTGGGCATGGTGGCACATGCCTGTAATCCCAGCTACTCAGGAGGCTGAGGCAGGAGAATTGCCTGAACCCAGGAGGCGGAGGTTGCGGTGAGCCGAGATCGTGCCATTGCACTCCAGCCTGGGTAACAAGAGCGAAACTCCGTCTCAAAAAAAAAAAAAAAAGAAAAACAAAGTCCAATCCATTCTATTACCAAATACAGTCAAATGTTCTGTTCACTGACTTTCAAGGCGGTGGAGGTGGGATTGGAAGGAGCAATGACTCAGTTTCACCTCCTGGTCCTCTTTTGTATATGAACTCCTGCTCAAGAGGCTCTAAACAGCATTTTGCATAACAAGCAAATACCTTATCCTCCTGTACCCATCCTCTTTCCCCATTCTCCCTACCTTGTCAGAAAGTGGGGCCATTTTCACTTCCCTAATCATGTCCTGACTTTGGGTGGCAGATTTGTTTCCTTAAATTTGAATTTGTGTATGTGTATTTGGGGTGAGGGGCAGGTAAAAAGGCAGCTGTCATCACTAAATAATTAAAAGAAATGTAGGCCTTATCAAAATTTAGAGATTTAAGAGTTCATATCACATTGGGGCCAGGTGTGGTAATGTGTGCTGGTAATCCCAGCATAAAAAAAAAGGCAAACATCAACTGATCTGAGTCATACGGAAGTCATGAAGTATGCAGAAGATTTTTAAAAAGCTCAGACTCAGAACACTTCAGTTTTAATCTAAGCTCTTCTAGTTATCAGCTGCGAGTCCTTGGGCAAGTAATTTGATTTCCTTGAACCTTAGTTTCCTTATCTGTGAAATGGGGCTAATAATTTCTGCTCTACTTCATAGATTTTAATTTTTCTTGGTGGAAAAATACATATTTCGTAAACTGTAAAATACTATTTAAGTGTATGGAATTATTATAAACATTAAGAATATTCACATTGTTTCTTCAATCTTGCAGCTTGCCCGTTCCTTGGTTACTTTTCTCTCTTATCAATGGATTACAGCCAGTGCCAGTCAGCAGCAATGGCTTGTTTTGTGCAATTGTTTTGCTTTTTCTCATGCTCCTGTTTGTGATCTCTTCAATTGCGTCATGTAAATGGAGAATGAACAAGATCCTAGGCTTCACAATGTTCCTACTTTACTTTGTATTCCTGATCATCAGTGTGATGTTAGAAGATCGAATCATATCCTGTCCTGTATCTGTCTGAGTCAGTCACTCTTGCTCACAATGGGCATAGATCAGAAGACTATGCCGGAAGTTACTGTTATCTCTTGTGACATTAATGAAAGAACGTACATGATCCTGGAAAGTGAACTGAGTGACCAAGGACCTCTGATGTGAATGTGATCTGAGACTCAAGTTTGTCCTTGGAAACACCTGCAGCTCACTGTGGATTAAGAACCTCACCTCTGGAGGGGTGGAGTTTCTACCCGACTCATGCAGACATCTATTACATGGAGGCAGCAGAAGGACCCCTGGAGCCAGAGGGTTTTCTGAATGATAACTGGGGTCAAAGGTTGGGGTAGGCACAGCAGCTGTAAGACAAGCGTCTGGGCTCACCATTCCCTGACCATTTCTGAAGGGCTGCTGGCCCAAAAGATGCAGATGTGAGACGTGGTCTACATCTCAGCCTTCCTGGCCTCTGCCTCAAGCACACATTGCAATTTTCTGTCTCCTCTCTTTCTGTTCAAAATGTGAGGTTCTATCAGGTTTGTAATCACCACAGGTTCAGTTATTGATGAGTTTAAGGATCCAAGGTTACAGGAAAAAAGAGGTATAACAGGAATCAATGATCATTCCACGTTTTGTAATCCACTGCATCTGGATCTATACCAGCATTTTCTACCTTAAAAGGAGGACTACTTTAACTCTTATTGTTGTGTTTCTGAAAAGTGAAATTAAACAAAGCAGCCTGAAAAATAAACATTTATAATTCAACCTTGAATTGGAAGGAGTGGAGATTAGGGAAGAAAACTACTCTAGAGGCTATTTAAAAGTATTATTTATTAGAACATCCAAGTTCATGTTGTCTCCATCAGCGGTCACCTTGAGGAATTAGACATTCTAACAAAGCTGTCCTGGCTCCACCCCTCCAGCATGTTCACACCCGACAATGACATTTGAGTGGAGAGGTAAGGGAGGTCATTCTAAAGAGTCCAAAATCATCAGAGCCACATCTGCTTTATAAAGTGAAAGATCCAGTGGGGCAATGCTATTTTTGTATGTCAACCTAGATAGGATTACAAAGCAAGACTGATTTCTTCTGTGGTTTATGAATGGATCTTAAGATAATTACAAAGGGGAAATTCCAAGAATGCATAACACAATGACAACATGGTGAGAAAAAGTGTATTATTACTTCCAAGGTATCTAGTGTAAAGGACACTTGAATTTTTAAAAAATGTGGTTAAACATTTTATGTGGAATTTGATGAGTCTGTGTATTAAATACCACTGCTTGCTGCTTTTACTAGAATCAAGTTAAGGGACATATTAGAAATAAAACATTTTACTATCACTGGCTTCAGAGCAAAATGAGCTCAGGTGACTGCAGATTATGATGGCAAATATGGCTTTAATTACAAACATGAGGAATGATTCACTGAAGATGAAAAGATAGGACAGATGTGATGTGAAAAAATCCAAACATTTAGGCATTGAGCAATGGCTGAGGGGTTCCAAGTATTCCGTCTTTTAAGATGGACTGGTTAATTAATTGCCTCGCTACTCCAGGATTCCCATTCTTTGGAAATAATTTTTATTAAATTTCAATAAACTGTGAATCCCAATGTATTTTATTTTACAACATGGATGGGCTCATCCTTATCTTTAGGTCACTTCTTCAGAATCCTCCCAAGAAGACTGAGAAGAGTATGGAATCATCTTCCAATTTCACATTCTTAAATTAATTATCCTTAATCCTCATGCTGCTACACTGCTGGGTTTCCAAAGCCATGGCCTAAGAACAGGAGGAAAGAGAAATACCTTTGGGATGGAGGTCCCAACCTCAAAATTCTGGGTGCTAACTGGTGTCTGCAACCAGTTCCAGTTAGCTTCGGGGATGCCAACCTCCTCACCCACAGCCTAGGATCTGACACTTTTCCTCAGACTGAGAAAGGAGTGATGAACCGCAAAACGCTGTGTAATGATAAAGTGCTGGAATATCCATGTAATGATTAAAACCAACTCTAATAATCTCACATCCTTTTCCCAGTTTGCTGAATTTCTGGCATACTCCTTTGCCTAGAAAGGAAGTTCTGATCACTTCACACTGTTACAGAAAAGGACAAGTACGAAAGCTGAGTCTTGATGGATGAGTAGGAATTCACTGGGGGAGAGAAAGAGATTACTTCAGGGAGATAGAAAACTTGTGTAACTTTGAAAAGACTAACTGGTTTTACCTGGAAATTAAATTTTTTGTTCACACATTTACAAACCTACTATAATATTAAAATCATGCGTTTTAGAGGTAAAGTACTATTTAAAAATGTCAAGATAGCCGGGCGTGGTGGCTCAAGTCTGTAATCCCAGCACTTTGGCAGGCTGAGGCGGGTGGATCACGAGGTCAAGAGATCGAGACCATCCTGGTCAACATGGTGAAACCCCGTCTCTACTAAAAATACAAAACATTAGCTGGGCATGGTGGCGTGTGCCTGTAATCCCAGCTACTCAGGAGGCTGAGGCAGGAGAATTGCCTGAACCCGGGAGGCGGAGGTTGCGGTGAGCCAAGATCGCGCCATTGCACTCCAGCCTGGGTAACAAGAGCGAAACTCCGTCTCAAAAATAACAATGTCAAGATAATATTGAGATGATCCTCTCACTTTATAGGCAGAGTATTCTGTATATAGTTACTTGTGACAAATTCTAGGTCATTCATTCAGCCTGGAAAGTCTGAGCTGTCCCACATGGGTCACTGAATTGGAAGTCAGTGGTTACGTGGATGCCTTCTTCAGTCCCCTTATGCTGCACTTCCTTGATGGCCCTGGTAGTAGGTTTGAGCCAGATTTCTAAATTCTTCCCAATTTAACGGGTAGAGATTCTACATAGTACCAGAAAAAGGAGATGTATTCCAAGTTTTCGAAACTGTTACATTATTTAAATGGTTTACTTTTTTTTTTTTTTTTAAAGATACAGGGCCTTGCCCTGTCACCCAGGCTGGAGTACAGGGGCATGAACATGGCTCATTGTAGCCTCACCTTTCAGGCTCAAGGGATCCTCCCGCCTCAGCCCCCCCCAGTAGCTGGGACGACAGAGGTGTGCCACCACACCCAGCTAATTTTTGTATTTTTTTGTAGAGATGTGGTTTTGCCATGTTGCCCAGGCTGGTCTCGAACTCCTGAGCTCAAGCAATCCACCTGCCTTGGCCTGCCAAAGTGCTGAGATTACAGGTGTGAGCCACTGTGCCCAACCAAAATGGTTACTATATATTTTGAACATTATATTGCACTGTCATCAATAGATCTGAAAATGGTTTTGTCAAATTACAGGCATGGTCTTTTATAGCTGTCTATATCAATATTATTTATTTAAAGATTGAGTACCAAAGGGGGGCAGGAATTGGAATGTAATACCAGCCTGGTAAAGTATTGGTTGTCCTTATGGGCCAATGAATACTTTTGGTTCTGACCCTTTTTTGGTGGGAGGGTCCCCCAGCAGGTGCAGCTGTGTGTAGGGGACTGGATGCTATGAAAGGTGTAATGAGAGGGCACCTGAGCAGAGCTGCCTATCATTGGGGGTTCACTAAAGCCTACAGGACATCCTGGCCCAAGTCTGCCTGCACAGCGAAAGGCACACTTCTGGTCTTCAGGCCCTTCTGTGTATGAGGAAGCAAAACCTGGAGAATTTCATTTGCAGAAAACCTACCAGTTGTGGCAATAGTTTTATCACAGTACTACATTTGAAAAGAAAATCTCTAAATACAAAAGGAGAGAGCCATCCAAATGAACAGGAACTGTGGAAAGGCAACAGTAACTTTATCAGAAGAGGCTATTACCATCTGAGTACAAGCACATGCACAGACTTCTGTAATCAAAGATTAAAATTCTTAAAGGTGTATACTGCTAATTTTGTAAACAAAAATAATTAGGCTACCAAATATGTTTACTTTGAGGCCAATGGAGCAAGGTAGTATGCGGATAAGATACCAAGTACTAAAGATATTAAGGTAAACAGTTATGCAGCTGCTAGAGAGTTCAGTTTTGAAGTAAAGCTTAGTCTTGTATCCAGACAGGAAGAGGCAGTGCATGCTAACATTATCACAAAGGACAAGGATTCTCTCAAAGAGACAGTCTGCTCTTTCTCTTCCTGCTCTGAGATAAAGTGCCGAAGAGCAGCTTTCAAGTTCTAGTGAGAGAAATTAAAATAAAGCTGGGCTACTGCACATTACCAAACAAATAGGTATTTGCATACCACATGCTTACAAAGTACAGGCTAAGTATCCCTTCTCAGAAATATTTGGGACCAGAAGTGTTCTGGATTTCAGATTTTTTTTGAAATTTGGAATATTTGAAGAATACAAACTGGTTGAACATCCCAAATATGAAATCCAGAAGGCTCAAAGGAGCATTTCCTTTCAGCATCATGTCAGTATTCAGTAAGTTTTGGATTTTGGAACATTTGGATTCCAGGAGCTCAGCCTGTATTTAGAAATAAAGCATAGCTTCTATATAGAGCTGGCTAATACTTGCTGGTTACACTTAAATATCATAGTAATTATCAGCATCAAGTAAAAACAAGTGTTTACTGCCTAAAATGTTGAACCAATGTTTTCTGGGACCATTTCTCTAAATACACAAATGGGGCGATATACTTGAAAACCTTACAATTAAATATGCTAGTGGTGTTAGGGTTTTAGAGCAAAACAAAAATCAAAACCCCAAGAAAGTCAGGGAAAAGAAGACAAAAATCAGAAGATGAATGGCTGCATATTTGTCCACCTAACAGTAGGAGGAAAAAGTAGAGTATCTGAAATATGATATGGAGTACAAATGTGTGCCATTCAGGACATAATGGTAGGACATAGTAAACAAGCTGTCATCAGCACAGGACATGGTTTATTGTCAACAATTTGAACATATAAACAAAACTAAGAGTAAGAAAATAAGATAATGTAGCAAAAGGGTATTTCTCTCCAACATGATTGGCCATTATTCTCCAAAATGTACGGTTAACGGAGGGAAAACTGAAGAAGAGTTTATGTAGAGTTATTTTAAAGGATGATTTATATTTTCTGTTTTTTGAGACAGGGTCTTCCTCTGTAATCCAGACTCGAGTGCAGTAGCGTGATCACAACTCACTGCAGCCTTAGACCCCCAGGCTCAAAGAGATCCTCCTGCTTCAGCTTCCCAGCGTAGCTGGGATTACCAAGCATGAGCTGCCATGCCAAGCTAATTTAAAAAATTTTTTTTTGTGAAGACAGGGTCTCTGTGTTGCTCAGGCTGGTCTCGAGCTCCTGGACTCTAGGAGTCCTCCCTGCCTCGGACTCCCAAAGTGCTGGGATTACAGGCCTCCACGAGCTACCATGCTCAGCCCAAGAATGATTCATATTTTAATTTTCTTTTGAACAGGTTTACCACCTTGTATTCATGTTTTAGGTTTTATTTTAAAAGATGAAATCTCTACAATAATATTCCTTGGGGATTAAAAGTAGGGGAAATATCACCTTCTCCAAAAGCGGAAACAAAACTTGGGGTGGAAGGAGGACGTAAAAATTACATTCGCTTTTCCAAATGAGTCTGAATCATAAAGCCATAAAGAATGGTTTTATCTCATTCTTTTTTGTCAGCCATTTGAAATCAATAAACTTTGATTCCTACATTTTGTTTGTATTACACAAAAAGTAAACAACAGTGAAAGCTGTTTTTAAAAGAATAAAAACAACCAACCACAAATAGAAGAGAACCCCAGAATCCTGTTTGGACGGATGTTTATCACCAGGCCAAAGGCCTCCCCTTCAAATGTTTCTCTCAGTTGATAACTTTCAAATGATTTAAAGAACATGAAGAACAAGTAGAACGTGAAGCTTGGATCTGAATAGTAAAGAATAAGATTGGAGTGGTATTTACAAAGGAGAGGCATATATATGTGCCTAGCACCAGATTTTTCAAGTAAGCAAGTTCAGCCCCAAACTCACTGAACTGAAGTTTGACATTTTTAAACTCTCTCCATTATTTTCCAGAGTTGAAAGCTGTGAAGTGTTTCAGCTTGGTGCTATTCACTAGCGGTGTGAACTCAAAAGGTGGGTTTTCTGCAGCTGAACTGATTCTAGGTCTCAGGACTCCAAGGTATCTCCAGTCCACGTGCTGTGGACTCTACTGGCTTTACACATCTAATTTGGGAGTGTCCATTTTTTCCTTCTTAAAATTAGCTAGAGGTTTCATTTACTAATGATAATGTGTGCAAACACACACACATATTAAAAATCTATAAATAGTTCTAGCAGCCAACAGATGTTTTTCTTTACCAGAAATTACCCAAAGTGACATCAGAAATAATGTGACTAAAAAAATATTTTTAAAGCCTATTTAATACTCATGATATTTAAACTTTTAATTTATTGTTTGATTTCTGGATATTTCTACATTTAGATTCTACAAACTTCAGATTCTGAAGCTTGTTGAAAAAGCTAAGTTCCTCAATATGGATGAAAGTCTATCTGGTTATACTTTTAGAGGGGAAGTTTTCTACTTCTGGATATTTATATATAGTATTAACAGAATACCCCAGCAAGTCACATTTCAGATAAATATTCTACATTATAATTTGCATCATACCCAATATTTTGGATTTTAAAATAAGGGTAAAATTTGGAATACAATCATTTGTCTGCATATTTCCCAATGTGAGTTTTCACATAGAATATTAAAATTTAAGTTGATATTTGGATGTATAAGCTATTTTCCCTGTATACTATATGTATCTATTAGCAATAGAGACAATTTTGGAGTCACAGTATAGTGAACCTCTCTGGCTCTCCTTGCACAAGGCTCCATGAGTCAGTCTGGGCAGTGCACGCTACCCTTGTCATGACTCACTCCCCGCACTCAGGCTTAGGGGAACTAACATGCAATCCTAGGACAACACTGACACTAGCACTGACATTTTAAAATTCATTCTCCCAAGTAATAAAAAATATATATAGAGAGAGATATACACACAGAGAGATCTGCAGCTGTACTGATTACTTCAAATAGCAGCAGAC